GGAAAATCTTCAGGAAATGGGAGAGGGCTGAGAGCTCCTTCCGTCTCTGCCGTGGAGTTTCTGCCTCTTCCCAGGGGTTTGGGTGCCTCCGGTCCGTCCGTGGAGCTCCACGGGTTCCTCCTGGAGCTTCCTGAGGCTCCTCCGCCTGCTCCTGGGGGCGGCAGAGCCCGCGGGGGCGGAGCTCCGGTTCTCCTTGCCCGGGGATGGAGCGAGGTTTGGGGATCCTGCCAGGACCTTGGAGCTCCTGGGAGCACTCTGGGATCCTGTCAGGACCTTGGAGCTCCTGGGAGCATTCGTGGATCCTGCCAGGGCCTTGGAGCTGCTGGGAGCGGGAATGGGGAGCGGAGGCTGATTGGGAATCCCAATGGAAATCCCATCAGAAATCCCATTGGAAATCTCATTGGGCATCCCATTGGGAATCCCGCTGGGAATCGCATTAGAAATCGCGTTGAGAATCATCTCACTGGGAATCCCATTGGAAATCTTATTGGGAATCTCATTGGGAATCCCATTGGGAATCTCATTGGGAATCCCGCTGGGAATCCCATTAGAAATCGCGTTGGGAATCATCTCACTGGGAATCTCACCAGGAATCCTGCTGGGAATCCCATTGGGAATCCCATTGGAAATCTCATTGGGAATCTCATGGGAAATCTCATTGGGAATCTTGTGGGGACTCTCACCCAGAGCCCCTCCAGGCAGCTGAACCCATGCGAGCCCCTCGCTGGCCATGTCCCTGCTGAGCCTCATGCTGCGCCTGACCCGCAGCTCCGCGCCCCGCACGCTGCTCCGCCTCCTGCTCCTCCTCCTGCCTGGCTGGGGGATGGATAAAACCTGCTCCACGCTGTACGAGGAGCTCGGAGCCAGCCTAAGACACTGCTCCACACTGTACGAGGAGCTCGGAGCCAGCCCAGGACACTGCTCCACGCTGTACGAGCCCAGAGATGGCCAAGAACACTGCTCCATGTTGCGTGAGGAGGGCACCTGCTCCATGCTGCATGTGGGCCCGGGCACCTCCTCCACGATGTGTGATGAGCTCGGAGCCAGCCCAGGACACTGCTCCACGCTATGTAAGGAGGGCACCTGCTCCACGCTGCACAAGGAACTCAGAGCTGGCCCAGGCACCTCCTCCACGCTCGGTGAGAAGCTCTGCAGAGCCGGCCCAGGCACCTCCTCCACTCTCCGCGAGGAGCCCAGAGCGGGCCCAGGCCCCTCCTCCATGCTCCGTGAGGAGCTCCGCAGAGC